CGTGCGTGCGCGCACGGTCGTGCAAAGATGATGAGACTCTTCTACTATCCGCTACACACATTGGGACATGTCCATGACAGATGGCTCGTCGCATAGGCTCCCCCCCCTTCAACACCTCACATCAGCACTGCGGACCACTCACTCTCTCATTACCTTCTTACTCTTACTCTTCCAGACCCCCCCCCGCCCATGCAGTATTCCCTTCTCCTTACGCTGCATCGCAGCTGTCCGTTAACGCAGCTGTAACCCCATAAGGCCCTCACTACTATGCATGTTCCAGCCAGAGCCAGATTTGCCCTTCCCTACCTTTACACGCAACACGACATCCCCTCCCCACCGCCTGCTCTTCCGCTTGTGAAACCGGTTGGCGGAAACCAAAGCCGCCTCGGTTCGCGCACGCGCGCGCGGATCATCATCACAACGTTTAACCGAGCACATGTGCTTGCTTGCATTGCGTTCTCAAGCCTTCATGCATCCTCCTGCGGCTTCCTGATTTGCTTCCTAGTCCTCCTTCTGTGATCGTCTGCCTGGCGCGTCCCTGCGCACGTCGGCCGGTAGGAGGCGCTGCGCTTTACTCCGCCACCTAAGCTAAGCGCCAAGATATATCGGTTTGGGAGCTATTACATTACATGTGCACGAGACCGACTTGATGTGAAAACGGTCCAATCATTTGCTTCTCAACGAGAACCCAAACGAGCCAGGCCACGATACACGCCAGCACACCCAGCAGCACCGCTCCCGCACCGACAGCGGCCCACATGGGGGAGACGCGCGAGGATGGACGTGGCCGCGGCGGAGAGGGCTCGCTGGCGGCGGCTAGGGCAGCCGCAAGAGCCTGTGGACCGGGGGAATGGTGGTAGAGGGGATACCATGAAGGTCGGGGGGACAGGGGGCCAGTGGACCGCTAGAAGTGAAGCTGGGCCATCCGCAACGTCGTGTTGTGGTGTTGTGAAAAATGGTAATCCGGTAAAGTGGGAAAAGAGTAGTAGTCGATGGCAGTGACGCGGTTGGTTAGGGCCACGCGACGCTGTGCGCCTCCTTTCCATTTGGGTCGGCGTTCATACGGCACATAGCATCATCCCGACGCTAAAACCCTTACATAACACTGACTTTTAATGATTTTTAAGAGGAGAGAGACGCGACGCGTTGTTCAGGACTCTTACAACAAAGTCACACGACCTGACAGACGTACAAACATACAAAAAAGCACACACCTGGACGGCATCGGGACTCGATGTGGCGAATTCCGTCGACGCCAGAAAGCTTTCCAGCTTCCTCTGTAGCTGCAGCACGTGCGGGGACAGGGGTACCTTGGCGTCTGCACCAACCAACGAACGCGCGTCCAGCGACGTGTTGGCTTGCGGCGCGGTGTTCGGTCCCTTGCCCGACTTCTGTGCGGCGCCGTCGCCCGCATGTTGTGGTGGCTGTGGCGCAGCCGTGCCGCTTGCCTCGGAGTTGTGCCCTGAGCTTCCAGAGCTGCTAGCTACTTCGCTGTTCTCGACGCCGGCGCTGATGACTGTGGTGCTTGGCCTGTCGCACAGCGCCAAAGTAGGGGAACAAGCAGTTGCGGTGGACGTTACTGGGTTTGAACCTGGCTGGAGACCTTGCTTTTCCACGATGTAAAAGTATTTGCTGGTTTTCATGGGATATAGCAAATCATGAACAGGTAACAAGCTCGCAAGGAATACAGGAATTAGCTGCCAGCAGGCCGCCGCGCTTTGTTGCATTGCGCTGCGTGAGGCGGGCTCTGTAATGTCATGTCAACACCTTGAGGATTTGTGAGCAGCGTTGGCTCTCCAGCAGCGCCAGGCTTAGTAAAGGTCAAAGCAGCCCTAGTAGATGTGGATGCCCCGATCCGGACGCGTCAAATCGCAGCGGACGACGACCTCGTGAAGGCCTCGTGAACGGTTGCGCTTACACGCGCGCTGCAGTCGGACAGCTGCACAGACAGCTGCAGGCACTTCGTTCACCTCGAAGCTAAGATGCTGCTATTTTCCAAGAATACCCACCCACCCCCGCGGGAGAAGTCTTCACGAGGCGGAAACAGGTTTCTGGAGCAAATCCGGTTTGCTGGCGTTTGCTAAGCATCGCGCGCGACCCAGATCACGACCATCCTCCAGCTGACCAATACTGCTGGAAATCGCTAAAAATCTGCTCGGAATGGCGATAAAGGAACGCTGAAGGGGGAAATTTTTTTCCCCATACAAGGCATACGTACCTAGAAGTCTCTGCGTCGGGCGTCGAGGGGCCACTTCGATCCTTAGCACCTTGCTGCTGCTGCTGCTGGTGGGGATCTAGGTCAACAATTGGACTCGGAGACGCTTCAATCTCGACCTTCGTGGGCGTTGACGTCGATGCCGCGGCCTGGGGCGGCACAGCCGATTTCCGAATTGGCGTGAACTTGGGCAATTGTTTCAACGCCGATGAAGGGCTCGCACCGGTCCCCATGGCCCTGTAGAAATTTTGCAACAACAGCAACATGCGGGTGGAACCAAGATGTCTGGGTCGCTGGAATGGAACCGAAAACCAACGCTGACGCATGATCCTTAAAGCAGCTGCAGAGAGTTGAAGATGTGAACAAGGCAAATAAAAACATGGGTCACATGAACCGTGAAATTTTCCTTGCTATGAATTATTGCGCACCCTTGCACGGGGATACGTGACGATACGCCTGCCGTTCCGACTCCGCCTGAGGCGAGGCCGCCTTTACCACCAGATGGCGGCATCCGGGGGATGTGTCCCTTAGTAGATGGACGCATTTCTGATCTCTGGGTAATACGGTGATGTCCCTCACAGTCGTGCTGACGGTAGCTTCGCGGCCGGAAGTGCAATCGTTGCTTTCCGTTCCGAGCTTCCCGGTAAATAAATAAAGATCACGAATATAAGTGAAGTCCTAGCTCGGAGAAGATGTGTGCTGAAGGAGTCTATGAACCTTTCATAGTTGTAGACGGTAGAATCTAAAACGAACTCCGAAACCATTACCGCCCGTACTTGTTTCTCGCGGGAAACACCAAGAGAAGAAAATGGAGTCCTCGTAATGCTCTGATGTGTATATTGTAATGGGAAGTAGAAGTTGTTATCACGAAAGCAAGTTCCTTCAAAGGACCTTGTGAGGCGGTATAATGCAATGCTAGAATTTTAACATCGCCTCATTTGGGTCAGTTGACAAAAGTAATTTGCGTATATCTGCTCACTGCGACCCTAGCGGACAGGGACGTTCCGTAGCTTAAGAGGGTTGGCTTCCGCGACATGTACAGTAGCCTCCAACCCAAAACAAGCGGCTGGGTGACGAGGCAGCAGCGGTTAACTTCAGTCACGTTGATTGATTGAGATCGTCGAGAATACAACTGGAATCTGCACATTCAAACTCAGGCTGTCCTGACACGTCCTATTTTGATGGAAGCCATAAACGAGACACCACCAAGTTCACCCTGTGATCACTGCAAAATAGGGAGGTCGTCGTAATAATGAAGTCTGGTTTACAGGCAAAGAAGAGCAGCTGAGCCGCCTCCAGCCGTGACTGCCATCTTCCCCTCTGACAAAGATGGACTCCAGCTCCTCTTCTGGCCCCTTGATCCCTGCCTCCCCCGGAGGCATCCACTGCGCACTCAACACAAAGCTGTCAGCATCATAGAGTGAGATCGACAGGGAGTTCGTTCTGAGTTCTGCATTAGTTGTACCTAGCTAATACGATGGACGTGCCGCAGACGGAACGGAACTCTGCATCTCACCAAAGGTCATTTCACGAAGTTGAAAGTTTCACAGTCAATGGATAATACCTATGCCACCTAAATAGATTCGGATGGTTGGCACTGTGAGCCGCCACAAACCTATTGACACTGTGCCAACAGCGACTCTTGGGCCACAGAATACATAGGGAACACCACTGCCGAGCGAGGCCCTATGCCCCCCTTCCCTCTCAACAGACAATCATGCCCGAACAGGAGTCAGATCGCCTGCAGGAAGTCCGGAAACAAGCACGCATCCGTGTGGTAGGTACTCCAGCAGGTCTTCAGTTGTGCATGTACGATGGCATCCCCCAAAGCCTCAGGAAACAAGACCACTACACACGCACACCATCTTCTTTCCTGTTAACGTTACCTCACACTGCTTGGCGAAAAAACCAACGCCGCGCCAACGCCCTATAAAGAGTGCCTATGAAGAACGCTAGATGCGGGGGGAGGAGAGCCAGTCTCGGACACAGCGCATCCCGGCCGGCGCATACACGTATTTAGCCAGAAGACTTCCAGTGTGCCAGCGTCCTCCTGTCCGTCGCAGACTACGTTCCTTCCACGCCGAGTCTCGTTGCAGGACCCATTCCAGAACCATTTCTAAACGCAAGCCTGTTCCCGCAGCCAGCCCCTGTCAAGCTGCCTGCGTCCACAAAAACCAGCCCAGCAGCCTCCTCCCCATTCGCTTCGCTGACCGCATCAAGACCACATACAACGATACGACGTCCACCAAGAGCATCTCGCCCCTGGCGCCATGTACAAGACCATACACGCCAGTAATACCCCAGTACAGTACAGTACAGTACTGGCCGCAAACTGCCGCCAAACAGACGTCCTGCACCCAGAGCACCGACCTTACGCATCGGACACTAAACACAAAATCGAGGAGAAAAGGGCCATGATGCTCTGTCTGCAAGCGCAAGGGTCCCCCCGGATCCGACAGGCAGCTTTTGGACCAGACCAAGTGATAGCGCGTGTATTGGAACTCGTCCTCGGCGCTGTGGTGCGAGCACAGAGCCACAGAGCAGACCCTGCATCATCCCGAAAGGTCTACGCATTCCAAACAGCCGTGACAGCGCAGCTTTCCAGCCAGGCACGACGCACTGGCAGCATGCAGTTGCCCTTGCTGACAGGCAACGGACAGGAGTTCTTAGGAGTAGGGCTCGAAGGGGGGAACAGCTCTGTTGCGACGGAAATTCATGCCGGCAGGGTCCGGTATCCGCGGCTGCGGTTCCCGCAGGTCCCTGTACACAGGAGGGGCAACTGAGCCCCTAAGCTAACCCGTAGCCCTTCCAGCCAGGGCTATCTCTGCACCCTCATGCAACGAGCTGGCCCCCCTCCTCCTTCATCTTTCGCCGCCGCTCCAAGTCGTAATTGTATATCCGCGCGATGCTGACCTCCGTCGTGGTGATGCTGTCCTGTATCAAGGCCATGCTCTCCTCGTTAGTCTTCAAGTTGGCGCGGCAGTTCGCCTCGTTCTCCTCTAGCAGAGCACGCGCCTCCGCAAGTGGGTACTCCAGCATGACGCCGGCGCCCAGCCACAAGTTTACCGTTTTGGCGCCCTTGATCTTGGCTTTCGCATACGCCCCCTCCGCAAGCATGAAGTCCGCGACCACCTCGTCACTTGTCGACTGTTTCTCAATGAGCTGCCTGACGATATCGACCGCTCGCCTCAGCTCAGGCAGCTTGGTAATCGTACGCGTACGCCTCTGCGAAAGGTCTTCCTGGATCATACGATACGTGCGGATATTCTCATGAAGCTGAGCTAGAATTTTGTCGGCATCCTTGTCTTCCATAAATTTCGCGACGTCCTCAATGAACTCCGCTTTAGGAACAGGCACGCCTTGGTCCGCCGGCGCGGATGGGCCCGCGCCACCTGACGACATGTTCTGACGCTATCTAAAAGAGCCACTAAAGTTACAAGTAAAATAGATACATACGCAGGGTGCAGAGGTCAGGGTTGCGGCAAGCCAAATGATAACAAAAGTACAAGAGGGCACCTGTTATGAAGTCCTGTATTGCAAGCTTAATTTGAAACTGGTGTGGAAATGGTGCTGGTGAGGACCGAATGTCGTACATACACATGTTTTGTCATGCGAAGCCTTTGCAACGAAGGTCTTGCCTTGTAACAGTTATAAACTTACGCCAATTGCGCAGGGTAATAATCCTTTTTCTTTTCATTTTTGAACTCGCATTGTTTCGGCCGTCTCTGCGTGCACATCCACTTGAACATGCCCAAGAGCAAGCGTAACAAAGTTGGTGGGTGCTTGATTGTTCGTTTTCTCATAAACTCTACGATCTTCTGTACCGCCACCGCATAAGGGAAGCGTGGGCGCCGCCGTGCAGTCTCGCTAACTAAAGTCAAGAAGAAGGACCGGGCCTGGAAGGAAGGTTTACTAGAAAAGATTCGACAATGCTTGGACACGTAAGTATTCGTTTGCAGCGTTGCGTGCGCGGCATACAACTTTTCGTCAACTCAGCGTCGCGAAACCATGCCGCTGTCTTACCATCGCACTATGCTCCCCCACACCTTGTTCTTGCCCACTCCAGATACCCCACAGTATATCTTTTCAAGCACTACAACATGCGCACCGAACGCTTTAAGCAGCTCCGAGAAGAGCTCCAAGACAGCAGCAGGTGAGGGCGTCGGCGGCTGTTGCAGCTGCCGCCGCCGCCGCCGCCGCCGGGCCCAACCCGCACCGTTTTTTTCGCCCACACCACCACAACCCGCATATTTCTCACAGATATATGTCGCATTTCCTGCTGCTGGATATGCCAAACCTACATAGAGACATCACCAGCGCCCGTTCAACACGAGTCCTTCACAGAGGTTGCATGTCTTGGTTCGTACGTTTCCTCGCCCTGCTTTGCACCACTGCCCCCTCCCCGACCCCCCCCCACCTGGCTGACCCCAGGAATAATATCTCATCAGCCCCCTCTTCCGCACTTCAATGATCTATCTTCCATTGTATTCCTCTCTCTTCCCCCTTTCCTCCCCGTGCCTTCCACCTTCCCCTTTAGCGACTGTGGACATGTCGACAGTTGATCCCCCCCGTGTTTCCCGCTTGAATGATCGCCATTACCACCATTGCCATTACCATCCTTTGTGATTCCCTTCCCCTCGCCTCCCCTCCCCTGCCTCGCTCAGGTTCATCTTGGGCTCCACATCCCTGATGCAGGTGGCCCTGGGCCGCACCGCGGCGGATGAGTACAAGACGGGGCTGTCGCGGCTGTCCGAATTGATCAAGGGGACGGTGGGGCTGCTGTTTACAAAGCTGTCACATGAGGAGGTGAGGGGGGCCCCTGGGGGAAGTGGGAGGTGGGGGAGCGCAGGGGTAAAGGCCGTCTTCGTGCTTTTGTACGCCTTCCTACCGGGCTACCTACCCTTGTCTGTCTGTCTGTCTATCTGTTTGTGCAGGTCCAGGGTGCCATTGAGAGCTACGTTTACGAGGACTATGCGCGAGTGGGTGCTCGTGCGGCTCACGACTTCGCGCTGACGGCGGGACCACTGGGCGGACCCATGGGTCCGTTGCCGCACACACTGGAGCCCCAGCTGCGCAAATTTGGGTTGCCAACCAAGCTCAACAAGGGGGTGGTGGAGCTGCTGGCGGATCATACGGTGCGGTGCGCGAGTGGATGGGTGGGTGGGAGGACGAGGGGGAAAGATGGGTGATCGCCATACACGTGGCACGAAACAAGAACCGTGTCCCAGCTGCGGTCAAGGGAGGAGGGGAAGGGGGAGGGAAGGGGGAGGGATGCTCGTAGTGTTTTGTTAGTGGGGGTGGGTGGGGTGGGGGAGGGGGGAAAAGAAGTTAGGTACAAAGCAGTGGTTGGCAGTTGGTATAGCTCGGGGCGGGTTCGGGCACACACCGGGCTGTTGGCGGGGTGGGTGCAGATGGCAGTGGTAGTAGTGTAGAACCTCGGGTATATGTGGGGGTGGGTGGGTGGGAGGAGGGAGGGAAAACAGTTACACGTGTTATCATCAATCCTTGAGCTCCGATCTCTGTAGTCCTCGTCTTGCTTGAACAGACATGGGAAGTAGATGTATATGTGTGTGTCATGTTTATAAATTACAAATCACACATATGTATACATACATACATATACCACACGTGTTTGCGCACCCCCACAGGTATGCCGTACCGGTCAGAAGCTAGACGCCAACCAGGCCGGCATCCTGCGCGTCTTTGACATCAAGATGGCGGAGTGCAAGTTGAAACTCCTGGCAGTGTGGAGGAGCGGGGAGGGCGAGGGCGGCAGTGGCGGAGGCGTCGTAGAGGAGCTGTCGGAGGATGAGGAGGAGTACGGCGGCGCTTCGGGCGGCGAGTTTGACGCCATTGGCGATGACCTGGCCATGGGCAGTGGGGGCTTCAGTGATGAGCCGGAGGGGCGAGATGGGGAGGACGATGCCTGAGAGTACCAACAGCAGTCCTAACAACAGTTCTAACAACAGTTCTACAGCAGTTCTAGCAGCAGTACCGACACCAGGAGCAGCACGGGATAGGTACAGCGATGAGGCAGCCTTGCTCGGCGGGGGAAGGGATGGAAAGAAAGGAATGGAAAGGGCTTGTACGCGATTTCTGTATGTCTGTATGTATGTACACTGGGCTGCGTGACCCCTCGAATGACGGGCAGCTCGAGGGCTCTCTTCATGACATGATGAGGCTTTTTTCTTTCGAAGCGCGGGGAGGAGGAAAAGGAGGAGGAGGAGGAGGAGCGGCAGCAGGGGGTTATTGGCGCTTGAAACACCGGGGAAAGGGGGGAGGGTGGGAAAGGGGGAAAGAAGCAAAGGAAGGTGACTGTGTGAGAGAGAGAGCTCTGACCTTCGCGTGTGCGTGTGCGCGTGTGCTGTGGAGAAGTCGGGGAACGTTAGTCTCTTAGGCGGTATGTTTGACGGTCCAGAGACTTTTTTTACCTTGATTATTAACTGGCACGGTGCGGTACGGTAATGACTCGAGGCGTGGATGGAGAGTTCGAAGAGGTGGTTTGGTCGGTGTGTTTGCCAAAGGTACTTGCCGAGACCCGCTTGACATGGTTATCGTAACGTAGGAACGATGGGAAAATATTTGTGGGGGTCTTCGTGGGGTGATGGGGTCTCCTTTCCTCAGACCATCTCTTGCGCGTTATGTGAGCGTGCTCAATCGTGCTGGTGTTCGCATGGACCAGTCAGTAGCCTGGAATGTCCTCAGTTTGGTGCGCTGTTGAAATCGGGCCTGGGCTGGATGCGTTAACTGATACATTACACAGTACGTTTGATTTAAAGGATTTAGGTTTTTACACATTACAAGACGATCGGCATCTGACGGAAGTACCTGGATTGTGGTTACATGTGGCGGGATAACCGGTAGGTAAAACAGGATAATAATAATTAATGGAAAGCAGCGTTGACATGGCCATTTGGACAAGACTGGACAGTTGTCCTGTCTGCCGGAGTGTGTGTGAAAGCAGTATCAGTTTTTCCGGCGTTTGGATGCGCCGACTTGACTTTGAGGATTGGATTCATTCCAGAAGTGATTCGTTAGGAAAGGCAGACCGGAGCTGTAAGTGATGACTAGCGTTACTGTGTTGGGGAGGGATCAGCTCGCAAGTCAGCTGACTTGTTTGCGGTAAACGACTCGTGTACGCTGAAAAGGAGAGAAGCACAGCTCCACAAGTTATACACAGGTGGCTTGTGCTGTCAGCTGCAACTAGTTTCGTCTTGCTGCGGGTAAAAGCAGATAGTTGAACTAGCAGGATCTGCTTTTACCTGCTTGTGCTTCTAAAGTTTAGAAGCAAAAGCAGGTATCCATAGCTGTTCGAAGAACAGCGACATACGAAACAGCGGCGAGACAAGTTGCAAATTCTGGCGCCAGGACCGCTCTAGACTGAACGCGCTTCATCCAGCATTTCAAAACAGGAATGGGTGAGACCCGCGGGACACCTGGGACACCTTGCTTGACGCGCTGCTTGAGAGCGCGCCTTTAGTAGTAAGTGAATTATTCAGCCTGACCCAAATGGGTATCGTTCTTATTCCTCCCCATATCTGAAAACGCACTGCAGCTGTCGGCTCAGTTTCATGGAATCCTAACTTGGAAAAGCGAGGTGACACATAGGCCTTCAACGCAATCCTACATTAGGTCATGAATCTTGATTTAAATATGAGGTTTGGCGCATTTGGGTTGCTCTGAAGAGGCAAAGGCTATTGCCGTTGCATCGCGTACGGCGGATGACGACCAATTGCAGTCGATGAGAAGCAGGAAGCAGGAATGACTACTGGTGTTACTGCATGCACTTGTGCTATAATTGCAAACTTAGCTGAATTGGGGAACGGGAGTAAGCACCCTGGGCGGCGACTGGAATTGCCATCCTACTATCGCGCGCGTTGGCCGCAACGGCGATCTCTGAGTAGCCATGCAGTCCCAGCTACAACCTCGCCTCCAACTTCAGGGCACACGGCTCAATTGGTTGCCGCAAAGGTCATGCGTTCAGCGTCGCTCGCTTCGAGTGGATGCGACGTCGGGAGCTGCTCCTCCGCCCCCTGCTGGAAAGGAATTGTCAAATGACATGGTCACAAGACAATACCGGCGCACGGTGTGTTCATGCTACTGAAAAGTCACGGCCTAAAGAGCAATTCGCTGAATAGCAAGACCATGCAGCTTTAGGCTGGAACCCCGATTAATCTTTCTCATACAGATATTAATCCATATTTCAGGTATATGATTTCTCGCTCTGGGCCAAGCATCGGGACGTAAATCGCTACCTTTATAACCTCAAGACCATCCCCGGGTAAGGCGATTCTGTGCTGCCTGCCGACCTTCCGGCCCAGCATCATCGTCGTTGCCCTTGACAGAAAAGCCAAAAAAAATATTATTGGAACATACCAAACCATATCGACTGAAAATACAGATACACCGTCAAACCAAAAGCCAATCCCTCACCTTTCGTCTGGCTCGCTCCGGAACCAGGTCACGAATCATCCGCACCCTGGGCCAGCCCATGGGTATCGTACTGGCGTGGGCAGCGATGTTCGGATTCTACGAGACGTGTCTGGAGTCCGGCGTCCTGCCATCCTACTTTCCAAAGTAAGGAGGCCATTGTCGCGGCAATGGTCCAACAACACAATTACCCCGGATCTGGACTCTGGACCCCTCAGCGCCCCGCAGAGGTGTACGATACGGTGTACGATAAGCAGGGCGCCCTGCGCAAAGCGAGGGGGAAGAGGGGGTTGTCGCGAAACACACTCTGAAGCGTGTCACGTGCGCGACGCGACGCGTCCAGGAGTTTTTGGTGCCCCTCGTGCGGGGCAGTGCCAGAGGAGGCGGCGAGGTGGAGGTGGAGATGGAGGCCCGGGCAGACAGACCCACGGGTCCTTTTGTACGGACGGAGGTGGTGTGCGCCAGGCCCGCTCTGAACCCCCCCGCCCGAAGTCAACAACAGATGTTTCCGTCTCCATTGCTGTGTGTGCTTTACATACACACACACATACACACACGCGGTTACCCCCTCCCCCCACTCCCCCCGCCGGCAGGCTGACCCTCATGTCCGCCGAGCCGCAGGGTCTGACCTCCTTCGCATTGTCGCTGCTGCTGGTCTTCCGTACAAACTCATCGTACGGCCGATTCGACGAGGCGCGCAAGATTTGGGGCGGCATTCTGAACAGAGCACGTAACATTGCGAACCAGGTGAGGCGAGGGCGCCGCCGCCTCCTCGAGATGGTGGTGTGGTGAGGATTTCATTCCACGTGTTAAAACACACACACACACACGTACGTAGCCGTACATACGTACCTACTTCCTCGGTGATAGTATGTCACCACCATTTTCCAACTGCATACATACAGACAGACAGACACAGACACATACACATGCATGCATACACATGCGCGCGTGTGTGCCTGCCGTGTGTGCCGTACAGGCCGTCACGTTCATCCCGGCGGAGGACGTTGCGGGGCGCGAGGCGGTGGGCAAGTGGGCCGTGGGTTTCTGTCGTGCGCTCCAGGCCCACCTCCAGGAGGATGCCAACCTGAGGGAGGAGCTGCAGAAGGCCCAGCCGCGGTGGTCCAGGGAGGAGATCGACATGCTGTGCAGCGCGCAACACAGGTTTGTGTGTTTCTGTGTGTAATTGCCTATGTATGTGTGTATGTATGTATGTATGAATGCGTGTGAAAGAGAGGTGGTTGTGTGGTGTGTGTATGGGGGATTGTACGGCAGCTTTGGCCCGTCCTGTCCTGTCCTGCCCCCGTAACACACCCCCATAACTAACCTAAGGCCCCGAGAGCTCAACTCGGAAAAGTAATGATAATAAGTACACCAGCCAGCGTGATGAAAAATAGTAATAATAATAATTATGATAATAATAACAGCAAGTCGGTTCTAGAATAATTATGTTTACCTGAAAGGTGGTGTTGGGGGGGGGGTATGTCGAACCACTGACGATTGAAGCAGAAACCCCAGAGATCATACAAATACCGCATGAAGGATATTTGTACGGTAAATTACCGACCAGTAAAGGTTTGGATAAGTGTAGTCGGGGTGGCGACGTGGTTAGCCGGCGGGGGTTGCGAAAGGGGTATATGTCCAGGGCTGCCGAGTCCAAGGAAGGAGAAAAGGCGAGAAACAGCAAAATGGTGACCTGGCCGCCGCCGAGATGAAAGAAAAAAGTTGTAAAGAGTCGGCAGAAAAGCAAAGCAAAGGAAATTGTAATGTGCCAAAATGTATACAACTAAAGGTGTCGATGAGGAAAAGGTATCGGAAAATGTACTCTCGAAGGGCTAAGTGAAAGGAGCACAATGTGATTTGATTTGATGTGACGTCAGGTGTGATGTGATGTTAGGTAATTAGCGGATGGGAATGGAGGAAAGAAGTAGTGAGGACAGGAGCTGCAGCGCACGACGCGTAACGGCGGCTCCGCCGAGCAGCTCCTCCTCCTCCGCCCCCTTCCATCCCTCCCGCCCTCCCCGCCCAGCAGCTGGCAGCAGCTTCAATCGTGTGTGGTTCGTCTTTCCCTCCCCGCCCCTCCCGTCTGCCGCCACAGCGACCAGCAGGCCGCCACTTCCACATAGAGCCCCATCCACCGCCTCGTCCACCATACAGCGTCCCTCCCACCTGCCCACCTGCTCAGCTGGCTCTGACCCGCGGGGCCTTGCGACCCCTCTCAGCATGTTGTCAGTCACACCTTCCATCCTGGCGTCTATAAGTCCCACCTTGCCTCTCCCTCTCTCTCGCGCGCGCCTCTTGCCCTACCCCCCCTGATTTCTTTATCTGCCTCCTCCCCCCCTCTCCCTCCCCTCTCCCTCCCCTCTCCCTTCAAGAACGCGTTTTGGTCAGTTCTACGTCTGTTACGCTCTTTCCTCCTGGCAGAACCGTCACTAGTTCGTGGTTCGTTTTTCCCCCCCTCTCCCTCCCCTCTCCCCCCCTCCCAGGCCAATCAAGGCCATCAGCATGCTGTCCGAGCTCACACGCCAGCTGCCCATCTCCCAGTTCCAGGCGCTGCAGATGCAAGAGAACGTCACCTTCTTCTACGATGCGCTAGGGGGCTGCGAGCGACTGCTCAGGACGCCCATTCCCGTGTCGTACACACGGTACGACGATCTGACAAATGCATACATGCACAAACACACACACACACGCGCGCGCATGGATGCCCCATACATAAATTAAGTAAAACATAAAATTTTGTGCACTTCTTAGGGTATGGATTTCTCTGCGTGTGTGTATGTATGTATGTATGTATGTGTGTATTCGACTCGAGAGCAAAAGTTTCTTTCCTCAAAGGAATTGCGTGTATGTATGTATGTATGTATGTATGTATGTATGTATGTATGTATGTATGTATGTATGCGTGCCGATACTGTTGCCACCCCCGTCTTCACTTCTCCCCTCCCCTCATAAAAGGACCCCCATCGGCCCCCCACCTACCGAAACCTTCCCCCCGCTCTACTACTGCTGCTACTGCTACTGTTGCTGCTGCTGCTGCAGTCACACCGCCCGCTTTCTGACCATCTGGCTGTCCTTGCTGCCCCTGGGCCTGTGGGACCGCTACCACTGGTCCATGTTGCCGGTCATTGCGCTGATAGGGTTCCTGCTGCTGGGAATCGGTGAGCGAGTGTGTGGGTGGGTGGGGGGGTCGTGTATGTATGTATGTATGTGTTTGTATGCATGTATGTATGTTGTTACAGGGGTGGTATAGCTTCACCAGCGGCCCCCTTTCCCGAGGCAGTTCCCTGCTCTCCCCTGCGAGAGGGGCACCCTAATCCGTTCAACCCATCCGACTTCAGAATGCATGTACGTATGCATTAACACGGCCATCCGCTCTTTATTGTATTGTATACTGTTCCACTCGGAGGCCGCTTTTACACCGCCTCGTTGACCACCCCGTGCAGATGAGATTGGAATCAGTATTGAGGAGCCCTTCGGGTGCGTGTGTGTGTTTTGCGGGTGGGGGGAAGGGGGGGGGAGGAGGGGGGAAGATGCATGGCACGTGCTGTGCTAGAGCTGTTGTCGTACCCCATCATCAGCTGTTCCTCAGCTCCTTTCCGGTATCACAACCACCAGAATCATACCATAACCACCGCCACAACCATAATAACGACCATCCCTGGCTCGGAACCCCTTGGTGGTAACCACTTTGTAACCACTTTCCATTCTCCTCGCCACCACCGATATATATATATATATATATATATATATATATATTTTTTTTTCCGTACATTCGCACACAGAATTCTGCCCCTGGACGCGATCTGCACCCGCGCCCAAACGGACGTCGTTAGCCTGCTGAAGGACGACCCGGCAGTTGTGAAGTACATCTCAGATGTACGGCAGGGCCGCATTGCGCCACCCACTGAGCCCCCCGTCGCGGGGGCAGCCCCCGTCGCAGCAGCGCCGCCGCCGCCGCCGCCAGCATCCGCCGGCGGCGGCATCAGCCGCAGCGGGAGCCCCACGGCGCAGCAGCAGCCCGACGTGATGAAGACGGTAACGTCCATGCTTCATAATGTCAAGGCCGGCATCGGGGCCGTCGCGCCAGCGCCGCCTCGTCCGCCGTCACCGCAGCCGCGTGCGCGCTCACCGCGGGCTGCATCCCCCGGCGGGCCGAGCCCCTTCCCGCGAGCATCTGCCGGAACGGGCGGGGCGGCGGCCGCCGTACCGTCGCCGCCGCCGATTAAGCCGCTTACGTCGTCCTCGTCATCCTCGTCGGGTGCTGTGTCCAAAGATAGTAACAATTCGACGGCGACGGCAAAGAAGCCGGCGTCTGCTCCTGCGGCCTCTAGCGCCGGGTTTTCTATGGGCTTTTCAGGACTTGCTGACGGCGCCGCCGCCGCGGCAAAGTCGGCATCGGCCGCCGCCGCCAAGTTTTCAAAGATTGCGGACAGCGTGGTGGCGGGCACGCCAGCGGCGCCAGCGTCGGAGGCCAAGCGGGAGACCGCCGCCGCCGCCGCCATGCAAGCGCAACCTCGGAATACCCCTTCGTCATCATCGTCGACGCCGTCAGCAGCGCCGGCAAACGGCAGTAGCGACGACGACCGCAGCAGCAGTGGCCGCCGTACTGCCGCCGCCGTCAACTGGCGAGAGGAGCTGGCGGCACTGCGGGCAGGCCGCGAGGACGCAGAAGAGCCGGCGTCGGCGTCGGCGTCGTACGATAGGGAGTTTCCGTCGTCATCATGGTCGTTTTCGTCGGCGTCATCGGCGGCTGTCGTACAGAGCGGCGACGCCGAAGACGAGGCCCGGCGGCGGTTCGGGGGGCTGGCGGGGCGCGGAGCCCGCAGCGACACCACCACCTCGGCAGCGGCGGTGATGCGTGGCAACGGTAACGGTTTGAGCGAGAATGGGTACGGCAACGGGTACGGAAATGACAACGGGAACGGGAACGGCAACACGGTGGAGGCACGAGGCGCAAGGCCACGGACCCGCCCAGATTGGCGTAATCAGCTGTAATGCAATGTAATGTAATGCGAGACCCGTCTTAGGATTTGACTTTCGTTTTTTAAAAAAAGAGCACCGCGGTGTGATGTTTTCTTAATCTTAAATTGTCCTATAGACGCTGTTGGCCGTGTTGCCAGCGTGTACGTGACGTGGAAAGTATCACTAGCGCTGCCACCTCGTCGTACACCATGACCCCAGTTCTAAACTTCGATAAATATCATGTATATTTCTAACTCCTATATATATATATCATTTGGCGGCTGTCTCCTTAGCTGAGAAAGTTGAAATCACCCTTCATCCGTACGGCCGTACGGCATTATTCGGGAAATCTCGCGAAATTTTGTCAAGGCTCGCGAGGCACACACAAGCGCACCGGTGCCAGGGTACATTAGGACCTTTCGGAAAAAAGTCAAGTTGAGACGGTTCGGGCAGTTTTTAGGATATGTATACGAGGTGTCGCGGTTTAAGGTAGGAAGGGGCGTCAAGCAAGGCTGTAAAAATGTTATTACGCTTGCATGCATGCATGCGTGCGCGCGAGCGAGGGAGTATGTGCGGGTTGATGTGAGGTGGTGATGATGATGCTTTTTTCGGGCTGTGTAAAAAGCTATTGAGGGATCTTTGAGAGGAGTGTGTTGAGTGTGAGGCTAAATTAAAAAAAAAAAGAACGTAGTGCATGCGATGCTGCGTCCCCCCGTGTAAAGTAATAAAAAAAGCAATCCTCCTTAGAAAAAACAAACCTCCTAAACGGTGTAGAATGTAAAATCCTTCTTAGCGGCATTGTTCAACATTATGATGATGATGAGTGAAGAAGTCTTTTCTCGGGAGGTGTGGACCAGAAAAGCGCGCGCCTGGAGGCGGGGGGGATGTCTTAGGTTTCAACCGGAGGATCTTAAAAATTGTACGGATGTACGGCTACATCATATGCACCCTCAAAACTCTTTCTCTCGCGTGCGCTCGCGGGATGCTAAGTTGAGGTTTCCACTGAACCAGCCAGTGCCAGTGGAACCCTAGCCATAAGCACATATGGCTGCGGAGACCCGACAGGAACTCTTAAGGGTATGTAAAAAACAAAAATTGCGTCAGCACAATTGCATCACCATCACCATATGCGCTTCCAGGCTGTGAATGGTGCGCCAATACAACAGCTTACAACAGCTGCCAACCTGTGCTACAGCCATAACGAAAGCGTTTCTGCCCAGGCGTTTCATTTCACCGCCGACAAATTTAAATTTCTGGATGGGCGGGAGATGGAAGGCTCAAATTTTTGTTTTTCCTCGTGCCTCCGCTCAAAACTTCTTCTCGAGTGACCGTCGAATATCTCGTCGAGTATATGTAATTTTTTGTAATGTTATTTGTAATGTTACAGAGTGGGAGGCTTCTGGGCCGCTTTATCACATTGTCAGTTCTACAATCATTTATCACCTTACAGCACCATCCACCACGACCACACTGTACTTCGCCATACGAACTGTAAGTCCAAGGCGGCGGATCCAGCCTTCAGGGACCCCTCCTCATCCATTCACCCGAACACCCGAAGAGACGGAGGGTTCGGCAATCGCCACCAATCCAGCGTGCGAATCTGGTCCATCAACTGTGACCTCAACTCCACATCTCAGCAGCTAGCCATAATCTCGCGCTCCCGACTAATTCGGGGGTCTCCCCGGGAGTACATGTGGCCTGCACGGTTTCGGAGCTGGGGAGAATTGATTGCGTGCGGATGTGGTGTGTCCTTACACGGCATCTGCCCAAGCAGCCATCCCGGGCACCTGTGCATTTGGGTAACTGGGGCTGGCTGCGTTTTGGAGCGGAGCGACGGCATTTCTGTTCTGCAGTCATGTCGCGGGATGTGCGATGCGAGGATGAAAAGAGGTTAAAAGGGTAAAAGCAGACTGGAGAGAGGAGAGGAAAGTACTTGGAAGCAACCCGGAGAGGCAGGAGGCGAGGGTGAGGGTGCTGTGTGAGGTGTCTCACAAGGTCCGTAGGTGATCACGAGGATGTTCCTGGCAGCTGTTCTTCACCGTCGGAGCACCTCTTGCCACCTCTCCCCTGACGCCAGCACGTCAAGGAGGCGGCGGTGGTAGGCAGGGGTTGCAGGGGGTGCCTGCTGCTGCAGTGGTGGACGGCATGTGCTGGTGTGGGGCGGAGCCCACGACGGGGCCATCGGCACCGCCGCCGCCGCCACCGCTGGCGCTGCTGGCGGCACTGCCGCTACGGCCCATGGCCCCCGTGCCGGACCACCGCGGCCGCCGATGGCTCGGCTTGGAGTCGTCCGAGGACAATTCATCGTCATCGCTGACAGGGACACTTTCCACAGTGCTCACGAGCACCCTGTCGGCGAACCGTACGACACCTGTCGGTGCCGCCGTAGTTGCGGCTGCAGTGGCGGCGGCGGCGGCGGCGGCAGGGATGGCGGTGTAGGGCTTGGCATTGTCTGCTGGGTAGCGACGCTGTTGCGCCGCCCCGCCAGAGCCGGCGGTGACGGCAGCTGTTGGCGGCGCCGCTGGCAGCAGCGCACCAGCGGTGGCCACCGGCGAGATGGATGCTGACGTGGCGGGACTCGACGCAGGAGGCGGACAGCTCAGCATAAGAGCGGGACGCGGCGGCGGCGTCAGACGCCGTGAAGCTGGAACGGGCAGCGGCGGCGCTGGTGCCAGTGCGGGCGGCGTGGCGACGAACGACACCCCGCCACTTGGAACCGTCCCTCCCACACTTGCCGTCACGGCCGCCAGCACTGCCGCCGCCGGCTGCTGCTTCTTCTGAAGCTGCGTCATGCACGACGGAACGGGCGCACCGCCAGCTGCGGCGCCGGCGCCGCCAGGAGTACCGACAGCGGCGGCGGCGGCGGCTGCTCCCGGGCCAACCACTGCGGGTCCCCCCACCGGGGCCCCCGCGGGCGATAGCGCGGCTGTTGTCGCAACGCTGACGGCGCCGCCGCCACCAGTGCCGTTCCCGGCTACTGCAGCCGCCACTTCCACAGGGCCCGGCACTGCCAGCGGCGCGGAGGCGGCGGTGGGCTGCTGCTGCTGCTGCTGCATTGGAATGTCCTCAATGCCAAAGGGCCCCACGCGGTGACTCAGCTTCCACTGCGTAATGGCCGAGGAGCCGGAGCCGGTACAAGCTGGGGATGGGGCCTGAGGTAAGCGGATGGGGCTATATAACACGTAAGCAAGTAGGCAAAGCATCCAGACACATTATCATGTCTTTCCTTAGGAAGCCTTGCCTTGGGCTGACTACACCTTTTTGAAGATGACGTTATAACAAGTTACTAAACAGGCCAAGGCAAGGCTTCCTAAGGAAAGACGCAACGCCATTTATCACAACCATTCTTCCATAGGCAATGCAATTTTGGGACGCTTGCATTTCGCGTAACGATTGGAAGGCTAATACTGTGAAGGCTCCGAAACCGGTAACGCAGAACTGGTAAGTCGGTTCATGCTGCATGTAGAATTAGCATCATCATGGTCAAGTTCACATAATCATCTGTAGCTTTAGATAGCTGTGCATATGGGGATAACTGACGTAAGCGCCTATTGCAGCGGGCAGGTCAAAGCGCATCACACGTACGGCAAGTAGAAATCTCAGCAACTCAGAGGATTACCCATTTCCGTTGTTGCACTGTCTCTGTTCTCTCCAAGGGCTTCTCTCTCAACTGTATGAACCGGATCCATTAGCACGATGCAACGTACCTATGGTCTGCAAAAGCCGACTGGCACAAGGCCATTGAAAGCTGGCCGTAGTGTGTGCAACCCTATCTTCCTAGCGTCGCGTATAGCTGAGGTTAATACAATTCAACCTTCAAGCAGCGGCCGCACCGCTGGGATGGAGGCGCCCACATCTGGGAGCCGCAGCGGGGAATCTTCGACTTTATTGTCTCCTATGTTCGGACGCTCGGCTTCGAGTGTGGCGGATCATCGGCTTGTCGCGTCGCTCGGATCTGGTGCTATTCTTACGTCGTCCTTGATTGCCAAGGCGGCGAACTTGTCGATTGAAGAGGTTCGTGCCGGCGCAGCAATTAAAATTATCGTGAATAGCCACATGTAATTATATCTATTTGGAAACCCACAGGGTCCTATGAGGCTTGAGTAATGTTCCGTCAATCCGAAGTCCCATCTCTGTGACAGATCTCCCTTCCCTCCCATTTGCCTCGCAGCTCAGCAACCCTTCGTACGTCGCCGCTAAAGTGGCCTATCAAGGCGTCCCTGGCGCGTACAGCGAGGTGGCGGCCCGCAAATCATGCCCAGATTTCGAGCCACTTCCCTGCGATCAGTTCGAAGTAGCCTTCCAGGTGCGCCTGGGGAGAAGGGATGCCACCCGCGTAGATGTGCAGGCGGCGCCCAGCAGCGACGCAATTTCTCTTCACGGGCGGAGTCCCTAGGGATGCTTCCCATCCCCACCTTACCTGGGTCTTGCCGCTTCTTCACGAGCCTCTGTGACCCAGATCAGTGAAACTCCCCGTTGTGATGCGGACCTTTTTAGAACGTTACAGCCATACTGTTGCTGCTGTTGCTGCTGTTATTATTTTCATTCCGGTAGTTGTTTCTGTAGGGGTTGTTTAAGAGCTCAAGGTGAGCAGGCGGCTGCATCTGACGCGTTAGTTGCGTCAGGGTTGGGAACAGACGGTCGCTGATGGCGGTGAGGAGGAGGCGGTGGGACGCCTCATCAGGCTGCCCTGGCAATGGCGAGGAGCGACGGCGTGTTAGATGATGACGGTTGGGATGGGGTTGTAACCGTGCGAGGGGTTGTGTAACCCATTTGGGTTTTTGGGTTTTTTCCCCCACGCACGTGCCGTACATACCCACATGCGGGAATCCATCGATTAGTGGGTGGGGTGACGAAATCCCTCTCGAGGTTGAGGGAGCAGTAAAACCCAGCCTTGTGGTTCACCTGCCCGAGGGGGCATGACCACCATGCCATTTACACCGGGCTGGGCGGCTGGCGACGAGGTCGGCTTTATGATGGGGGAGGAGGAGGAGCTGGATTGGCGCGGGGAGGGGGGAGGGGCGACTTGAGCAACCCGCATACACATCGCCCTGCTGCTGCACTAACAGCCGTTGGGGCATGTATGTCTGTATGTGAAGGAGATTTAGCCACCATCGCCGCCACCACTTGATCGCTATCGCGTGCCCAGCACCAGACCTCCCTTGTCTATATGTGTGTATGTGTGTGTGTGTTTTATCTTCCGTGTCGTCTCCTCCCCCTCCTCCCCCACTTCTGGTACACTCTTTCCTTGGCAGCGGCTTCACTCGTTCACGTGGTTCGTCTTTCCCCCCAACCACTTTCCCCGTCAGCTTTTCACACCAACACCCCAACACGAGGTCCCAATCGCTTCCTCCAGTGCTCCACCACCCCGTCATGCAGCAGCCTCCTCATCATCTTCATCGCTCCTCCCCCCACTCTCCTCCCCCCCCGACCCCCCCCCAATCCTGTACCTCCTGTAATGCTTATGGACGCGCCCTAGCAGTGCACGGATTCATTTTCTTACTTTGCTGCCCCCTATCATCCATCCCCCCTCCCTCCTTCCTGCCCACACTTGGCCATCCCCCCTAACCCCCCCGCGCCTCCCCACCCCCGGCCCCGGCGCCCTCTTTTCTTCAGGCGCTGAGTCAATGGATGTCGGAACGTGCCGTACTGCCCATTGAGAACTCCCTGGGCGGCTCCATACACGCGGTGTACGACTTGTTGATCCGGTACCGCCTGCACATTATTGGGGAGACCTCCCTGGCCATCAACCACTGCCTGGTGGCGCTGCCGGGGAGCAGCAAAGGGGAGCTCAAGAGGGTCATGAGCCACCCGCAGGTGCGTGCATGCGTGGGGGGTTGTGCGGGGGTTGTGGAGGTGTATGTGTGTGTGTGTAACGGTTACCTGGGGCGCCAGGAGGAAGTAGGAATGCTGTTA